AGTTTAAAGTTCCCAATCACTGTATGATTATGAGCAAAATTGGCCAGCTGTACGATTATGAGCAAAATAACACAAAAAGAAATCTCCATGGTAGTAATGGTATGACTAGTAATCAATTGGTATTAAACAGCTGCTTTTATTAACTCTTAAGATTTTCAGCTCTTATTTTATATACTGTATGTTTACGCCTACCTGGCTAGGCAGTGAGGTCTATATCTGGCCAATAATAGTAGATTTAAAAAAAAAAAAAAAGAGGATAGAGGGTAAGTACAAGTCAAACATTACAATAAAGAAAGGAAATGAGATATTAAAGCAAACAAAAATGTAAAGACAACCCTTCTATGTATACCCAATAAAAAACAATTTGTAATGTGCCTCCAGTATACAGAACTAGAATTTGTTTGCCATTATCCATAGTGTCTAGAAACCAGGCATACTGACAATATCATTATTCAGAAAGCAACTGTACTGTGTAACCATCCGTAAGAAAGTAAACAAATAATAACATTCTGCCAAAAACAAGAAAAGTGTCAGTGTGCAAACTGAGAGGCACAATTCTTCTCTTAATCTTCTTCAACAGAATAACAGCAAATTAGACCAGCTGAGTAGAACAATGCAGATGGTGATAGAAAGCTGTCAACAAATATCCAATGAGACCATTTTTCTAGGCAATGCAATCAGCTAATAAGACATGAAAAATAGTACTAAGCAGGAGCCCATAGGTATATACCGTAAAATACTGTGCATTCAGCCATTAGTGTTCTATTACTTTCCCGTCCTTCACCCAAGCTGTATCTGCTTTCAGATAAAAGGAGGAAGCACTGGTGGAATGGCTGCTCACATCTAAAAGTTTGCTACTGAGAAATCTCTTATCTTAAAGCCAAACTCCAGCCATAACTTTTTTTTCAGTTTTGAAACTAGGGAAACATAAGAAATCCTCTCAAGTTTTTATTGCTGTCTGTGACTACTGGGGAGATTTGCTCTCTGGCACCAAAGCAAGAAATAAGGTGAGTGGGCAGCAATAAAAACCTTTAGAGAAGTTCCAACTTTTCCCTACTCTAATTTTAAGATTGGCTGCCTCCATCATCATTGGAGAGATTTCTAAGCACATGCTGGCCCAATGACCATCTGTCATCACAAAAGGAAGTGAGAGGAAAGGTTTCAATGAATATGACTTTGCAAATCAATATCCAGGTGATGGCCAGTCTCTTGGATACAGCAAGCTGCACCTTTCATGCAGATGTTGAAAACTTTACAGATCCATATTAGGTTATCAAAAAAATGTAATACCAAACCACTCTGGGGCTTTTTTTCATTGGTTGGGCTTACTACAAATGTTCCCTGTGGTGTCTGGTAATTGTTGACACACTGCCTTTAAGTGGTTGTAAACTCATATATACCCAGTGACTAGTCTCAGGAAATACACAGGGCTGAAAAAAAATCCAAATTTTTTAACCCCTTCACGCCGGCGCCTCCCGGCCCTTTAAGAGTTTCAGAAGCCGGTAGGCGGGGCTTAGGGTCATGTGACCGCCGTGACGCGCCATCACGGTGGTCACATCATCGGAAAGGTCCCGAGCGAAAGAGGAGATCGGGACCTTTCCGTGAGTACCGGACATGTGTGCTGGGAGTGTGCAAGGTGCGTGCTCTTGGCCCATATGACCTTTTTTAATAGAACGCAAATGTGCGGCTGCTCAGCGTCTAGGTCCAGATGCCGGGAGGCCGCACATTTGCATAGCAGTTTGAGAAGAGCTGTAAGAGCTGATTGGAGGGAAGGGACACCCCCCTTCACAGAGCAAACAGGCACAGAGCTAAGGCTGTTAACCACAGGCTGTGTGCTGGAGGTCCCTCCCCTGGCAACTTTTTTTCTCTTGGTGTCAGGAAAAGTTGTCAGAAGTCATTCATGCTAATAGCAGAGGCAACAGATAAACATGACACTTAGTGCTCTTAACCATTAGCCGCCGGCCAATGGCCGTTTGGCGGCTTCAAATGTGCTCCTGTATTCCGGGTGCACGCCATTTGGCGTGCTCCCGCACATGCGCAGTTTGCGCGGTTGCAGAGCGACGCAGCAGTGCGATCTGTCACCGCCCGTGCACCTCGGACACGGCCGATGACAGATCCGAGTACCGGCTCCCGTTGCCGGTACCATGTGACCTGCTGTGACCAATCACAGCAGGTCACATGACAGTTGTATACAATGGATGGCTTCATTCATGATGCCATCCATTGTATACTAGTGCCTAGCTGTGAATGGCCACAGCTAATCACATGCACATGTCATGTGATTAGCTGTGACCAAATCACAGCTAAGCACAAAAAAAAAAAAGCTGAATGAATCGATGTCATTCAGGTAAATGCTTGCTTATAGCAAAGTAATTCTTTGCTATAAGCAAATTGTGTAAAAAAAAAAAAATAATACTGATCACTTCCCCAAAGTAGTACAATGTTACTGTGGTAACATTGTACTATTTTGGTCATAGTAAAATATGAAAAAAAAATCTTAAAAAAAATTAAAAAAAATGTAATAAAAAATTAAATATAATAAAAAAAAAAAAAAAATAAAAAAAAAAAATATATATTTTTTTTTCATACTGTCACCAGTCAGTGTCGCTGATCACCGCCATGCCAGTTATATGATGACACTGTACTGCACTGGTGACAGTATGTAAAAAAAAAAAATAGTGAAAATAATTTTTTTTTTTTTTCATTTTCCGAAAAATTATGACAAAAAAATACAACTTCAAAAAACTCGCCATGCCTCTTATGAAGTACGTCGGACTGTCTACTCTGCAAAAAGGGGTCATTTGGGGATATCTGTACTGTTCTGACATTCTTGGACCTCAAGATATTAGATTGGCTGTCAGTACTTCAGGATTGATTAATATTCAGATCTATACCATAGTTTGTGAACTCTATAACTTTCCTACAAACTAAAAAATACATCCTAATTTGGGTTATTTTCACCAAAGACATGTAGCAGAATACATCTCGGCCTAAATTTATGAAGAACAATTATTTATTTGTAAACTTTTATAACAGAAACAAAGAAAAATGTGGTTTTTTTTTTCAAAATTTTTGGTCTTTTTTTGTTAATTTAGCAAAAAATAAAAACCCCAGCGGTGATTAAATACCACCAAAAGAAAGCTCTAGTTGTGTGAAGAAAATGATAAAATTTTAGTTTGGGTACAGTGTTGTATGACCGCGCAATTGTCATTCAAAGTGTGAGAGCGCTGAAACCTGAAAAATGGCCTGGGCAGGAAGGTGTAAAATTGCTCGGTATTGAAACGGTTGAGACAAGCACACACTATAGAGGGATATGCTTTGTTCCTATTTCATGTCTGAGGTTTACAACCAACTTAAGAAAAGGGACCCGAGTGACCATGATTTGTTGGATTGTTAGTGATGTCATAGTGATTCAATATAACATTTTCCTTATACAAGGTAGTGCTGTGGTGAGAAGAACTATTGCTAATTGATAGATGGGACTACAATGCACAGTTACATTTTGTGGGCAAAATATATATTATTATTATTATAATACAGGGTTTATATAGCACCAACAGTTTGTGCAGCACTTTACAATATAAGGAAGACAGTACAATTACAATACATTTCAGTACAGAAAGAATGAGTGTGATACTGACATTTGGCTTTTCAGGAAGTGCCAGGAATCCCCCTCAATGGGAATACAGGCAGCAACCTGAAAGAGGTTATAATCCTTCCCTGCTCTATTCAAATTTTAAAAAGTATTGGCTAGAGATGGATGAATTTAAAAGAAACCAAAAAAGGGAATAAAACAGAAAAGAAAATTATTACTTTTTACCACTAAATGATACATACTTTGGATACAGTTGCAGATTCTGCAGTCAGTGTACCACAGCAAAACAAGGCAAAGGATAGAGCTACCCAAAAACAACTGTCCTGTTAGCTAGCTCTGCCCGATTACAACATGGTTCAATTCAGTAAATGTCATTAGGGATTCAGGTGGAATTCCTGCCGCCATTTATGCCTACATCCATCTATTGCATTACTATTTCTTAAATGTTAAATTCATCAACATTTGTGTTCAGAAAGCAAATCAAGCCCCTGATGCTGGAATCTTCATAGAAATAAAATAAGTATCTAGCAGAGGCAATGCAAATACTTGACTTAAGTCTAAAATCGAGTGAGATAGTAGGACAGCGTGCTGGTCTTGCCACTTGAGACCCATCCTGTGTCTGGCCAGCACTAGAAGATGCAAGCTTCCAGTATCAACATTCCAAAAATACCTTAACCACTTGAGCTCCTGAGGATTTACCCCCCCTTAATGACCAGGCCTCTTTTTGCTACTCGGCGCTGCACTAATTCAACTGATAATTGCACGGTCATGCAATGCTGCACCCAAATTAAATTTACGTCCTTTTTTTCACACAAATAGAGCTTTCTTTCGGTGTAATTTGATCACCTGTGCGCTTTTTATTTTTCATGCTATAAACAAAAAAAGGCCAAAAATTTTGAAGAAAAACAATATTTTTTACTTTGAGCTATAAAAAATATATAGTAAACTCAAAGTTGGTTATAAATTTAGGCCAAAATGTATTCTGCTACATGTTTTTGGTAAAAAAAATCCCAATAAGTGTATATTGATTGCTTTGTGTGGAAGTTATAGTGTCTACAAACTATGGTATAAATACTGCAATTTACGCCATTTTTCTGCTATACGCGCTGCGCTAGTTTAACAGACAATTGCGCGGTCATGCAATATGGTACATAAATGAAATTTACATCTTTTTTTCCCCCACAAATTGAGCTTTCTTTCGGTGGTATTTGATCGCCTGTGCGGTTTTTATTTTTTGCGCTATAAAAAAAAAAAGGCTGACAATTTTGAGGAAAAAAAAAAACAATATTTTGGACTTTTCGCTATAAAACATGTCCAGTAAAAAAAAAAAAAAAGGAAAAAATGTAATTTAGTCATAAATTTCTGCCAAAATGCATTCTGCAACATGTCTTTGCTAAAAAAAAAACCCAATACGTGTAAATTAATTGGTTTACGTGAAAGTTATAGCAATTACAAATGGCGGGAAAGATACTGGGATTTTTAGGTTTTTTTTTATACTAATAATGGTGGCGATCAGCGAATTATGGCAACGATCAGGGACTTATGGCAACGACCAGCGACTTATGGCGGGACTGCGGCAGACATTCTGACATTGGGGGGTACTGACTTGGGGTCACTGACATCCCCAAAAACACTAATACAGTGATCAGTGAAAAAAAAAAAAAAAAACACTGACACTGTACTAATGGCAATGGGGAGGAAGGGGTTAACTTTATTTTGCAGGGAAGGGTTATAGGAGTGAGGGGAGTGTTTTACTAGGGGGCGGGGGGTGTGCTGGACGGGACAAGGCTGATCGAGAGAGAGAGAAACTGTTCTTTCTCGATCAGCTCATCCTCGAGCTGACAGGGAAGTGACAGACAGCACAGCTACTGCAGCTGTGCTCTCTGTCACTGTTTGCCGCCGATCGCCGGGTACAGCCGCTAAGGAGCGGCTGTGACCCGGCGACTGACATCTGCGGCGGTGATCCACGGGACAGATAGGGCAGCGATGCGCCTCGCGCGCCCCCTATTTGTTTACAAAACACACGTTTTAAAACTTGGTTTTGCCTGTGAGTGCCGCCCTGCCGCCGTATATGTACAGTGGCTGGGCGGCATGTAGTTAAAGCAGAACTTCACTCTCTGAATCAGCATTGACTATTTTTATTCCTTATGCTGCTAGCCGTAGTAAATAGATAGGAAAGTATATCATATTTACTCATTTAAAACTTTTTTTTTACATTTCTTCAGTTACTTTCTGGTTTCCAGGCCTAGGAAAATGATGTCATACATCTCAGGAGTCTTCAGGAGGGGAGGAGGGGCTTTCTTAGGTTAGCACACCACCCTGCACACCTGAGCTAAGGGCAGATGGATTCCAGGAGTAAATGTAAATGCTATATGAATCACTTGCCCTTACGCAAGATTTCCACAGCCAAAAATGCTAGTGGGTGTTTTTCAAAGCGATTTCTCAGCAAAATAAAGCATGGAGACATTAATAGATGGGATAGATTACTTTGAATAACAGAAAATATAATTAAATACCGTTTTTGGTTTGGGGTGCATAGATGCAGTGTAGTTCCGCTTGAATGTAATTTAAAGGTCAATTTCACAGAGTAACAAAAAACAGTGTCAAGTGAAACCCAGCATATTAAAATACAGCCTTTTTTTTTCCCACTGTGTCCCCCTACCTCTCTTTATTTTAATTTTAGTTTAGTCCTAAGTCCATGGGTAAGACAGTATAAGAGCTCTTCCCGTTGGATTTTGCATTTGTAGACATAGAAGTTAGTAAGGGTTAAAAGACTCAGCAGGCCATCTCATTCACGGGTTAAAGCACATGTCCAGCCAATTTTTTTTTTCTATTATGTTTGGATAGCGTATGAAAGGGTTAGAACCCCAGTTAGGTTTTATTGCCATATTCATTAGTGAGATTTTATTGCCATATTCATTAGTGAGATTTACAGTCACTTCCTGTTTTGCTTGCAAAGTTTAACCAGACAAGAAGTGAGGGAAACTCTCCAACAGCAACATAAAGAAAAGTAAAAATGAATTTCGTTAGTAAGACAGTGCATGGATAAGACAGTGTAAGAACTCCTACCACTGGATTTTGCATCTGGAGACATAGAAGTTAGAAAGGGTAGATGACACAGCAGGACATATCATATACTGGTTGAAGTGCATGTCCAGCCAAAATATTTTTGTTAGTTTTGGATAGCGTGGAAAAGGGTTAGAACCCCTGTTAGGTTTTACTGCCATAATCATTAGGAAGATTTACACTAATTACCTGTATTGCTTCCAAGGTTTAACCAGAAAAGAAGTGAGGGAAACTCTCAAACAACAACATGAAAAATAAAAATGTTTTTCGTTAATAGAGTAGGGGAACCCATCAGCTTTTTATTGCCGATTGTGGCCCTGTGGCAAATCTTCCTCCACTTCCTGTTTGTTGAAACCTTTGTCTGCAGGACAGGAAATTAAGAAAATGGTTCTAATCTTTCACCATTCTATTCAAAACTGGACAATTTTTTTGGCTAGATACTTTGTAAACTTATGCCAAATATTGCAAAACAGTCTTTCTCAATTAGGTTTCCCTCAAAGTTTGCTAGGAGTTCCTTGAGCAGTGGGTAGTGGATTGATCCTCTGCATAGTTTTGACACCAATGCCACTTAGCAGTGCCAGCTGCATGGGAGCTTCTCTTCTCATGTAGGTAACCACTTACAATAATGATCATGTTAGCTGTCTGTAGGGGGCACACTCCAAATGACCACCAATGTAAGGAGCATTCTTCCCACTAAATCCCGATGTAAAAGGTGTTTTTTCACAGACCACCAATGCCATGTGATATTTTTTTCACTGGCCACCAGTGTGAGGTGGCTGTTCTCCGATTAATCACAATCTAGTGTGGCTAATGTACGATGAGCTGTAGAGTTATGCATTTGTAGTACAGGTTCTTTAAGACCTGAAAATTATTTCAAGGGTTCCTCCATGGTCAAAAGGTTGAGAAAGAATGCTGTAGAAAGTGGACCTCATACAAACAGTATCATAGTAAAATTTATGATAAGCAGATGACAAATGCATATAACTACAAAGGCAGAAAAGGTTAACAGAATAGCACTTAGCAGCTATTTGGCTCAGCTGAAGAAACTTACTGTGGAAGTAATGAGTTTCTGACCAGAGACATAAATGTGCTGTTTGACTGGAGACCTTCCTTTCTTCCCTCAGCCACAGCTTCATGGTTAACAAGTAGTGATGTGGTTTCTGCAAGCAGCCGCAAGCTGAAAAGCCTCCATTCCACTAGAAAAAAGTAAAGCCAAGAATGTTACCATACAGCTGTGTAATTGAAACAAAATGTTGAAGCTGCATGGAGACATACTTGATGTGGCCTAGCTTACCATTTTGGCTGCACACCAAGGAGACTAAAGGTGGGAGGATAGCATCCACAACCTAAAACAGAGAAAGAAAGGGTCTGGATTGAATTACTGCAAGAGCAGAAATAGAATCAGTATCACCACAAACTAAAGGTCTTACTGGCTAACTCTATAATTAAAATGATCATCTGTGAGGAGATGTAGTGATTTATTACCTATGTAGGAGATTTCAGTCATGTTGCAGTCTCTTCCTCCAACTCGGGTTACAGTCATTTCAAATCTTAGAATCGATAGAGACAATCCTCAAAACCAGCAAGTTATCTATGATGTTGTAGAGTTATGACTAACAGCCCTGACAGGGCTTGCAAGTAATGTATCCCTACAAAACTGCAAAATGCAAATATACATGCTCAACTTGCATTGTTTACATTACGTTTAATCCTCAGAAATACAGTTAGACTGCTTGGATATTACAATTCTTGTCTGGAAATGAGCTTCTCAGAAAATTTAGAAAAACAGTAAATTATCACTTCTTCATATAATAATACTCTGGAAAAAAAAATGTTTTTCCTGTAACAAATGCAAAAGCTATCTTGACAGCTATCTGCATATAAGCAGCATATGCATAAGCTTAATAATAATAATAATGCATAATAATAATAATACATATGCAGTTATTGAAAAGGTGGTCATTTGAATTTATATCTGTTTTTATCTCTAACCAAAAATTCAACCAACCCCAAAGTACTGATACTAGTCCAAAAAAAGTAGAGTACATCTAAAGTCAAAACAATTTATTCTTAATTTTAGATGAAGCTTAAAATGGGTAAAATCCCTATGAGTTGTTTTTATTTTCTTCCCAGTTTCATATTGTGTGAAATTTCAATTCCTTCCAAGTGAGGAAAATCCCCTTTTAGACAGTTGTCACTGAAACTGGTGTCTCCAAGTAAGACCCCTCTTTATTTGTAACCCAGTGACAACTGTCAAATTTTTGATTTCCCATTACTTTTTGTTCTGTAAACAATGATCACATAACTAACAGAGAGGGTGACACTCCTGTTTGTCAGAGATTCAAGACAAAGAAATTAAACAAATCTGCTAACGTTAAAAGTCTAATTGTGGGCAAACTTCCTGGGCCCCAGTTCCTCCATTTCACTCATTTCTGTATTATGTTTTTTTCTTTAATATTTACCCACTAGGTGCTCCCTACAGAGTGTTATTCTCTGTGTCATTACACTGCAAGACGTAGTGATGTCCTACGCTTACTCAATGTCCTTACTCTTCTGGGTTGAATGACGCTAAGCCTCATTTAACTCAGGACACTAAGGACATTTAATGGCAGGAAGAAATTACTGCAAGGTACAGAAACAAAAAGGAGGAGTATTGTAGCCAGAGCTGCTTTTTTTGTTGTTGCTGGAGGTCTAGTTAAATAGGAAAAAATAGGAACATAACAGCCTGACATTGTGCTTAAAAAGTAAGCTTTATGTACACTTTAGATCCCATTTGATAAAGCTGAATATATAATGGAACAAACTAGCAATTAGGTGCCATCTGCAGCAAGCTTGAAAAAGGCCAGCACTAAGTTTGTTATACTACAGATATTGTACAAATGCAGAGTCTGCTAATATGATACTTAGTAACACATTTGAGTGTCTTTTTACGCAGTGCTGGGTAATATACATTGGACTGCACTGCAGAGACCCAAATCAAAGACTGTTATCCCATTATTTCTTACAGTTATCACACCACTCCCACTCTTACACAGATCTCCACATATATTACACATCAAAAACATTGAATATTGCCTGCAGCCTCCAAGAAGTGATGATAAAAACAACCCTGGTTCTTTCTGTGTCTCGCATCTTCTCTACCGACTTTGCATCTCTGACAAATGTTGTGCTTACAATTATAAGTTTGAAATGAACAGCATTAAAATACTAATCATGCTACCTCATTCCAATGTCAGATAATTTATGTTGGGGTATATGATATCATACATTATTACCAAAGAAGCAATCAATTTAAAGCTGCAACCTGTATACATTCAAAACTAATAACAGTAAATGCTGAATGTGCTCCTTTGGTACTGCTTAAAGCACAACACTTCACCCAAAAGGGGAGTTTTCACTTGTTTGCCTCCTTCCCCCACTGCCAAATTTTGTGGGGTTTTTTTGAGGGGGGGGGCGGGTACCTAGTTTTGACAGGTACCCCCTCCCACTTCCGGTCAGATGTGCCACAGTGATCTGAGCCGGAAGTTGGCAC